AATTATTTGGCAACAACAACAACAAAACAAATTCTTCTATATCTCGGTTGTCTGATACTCCATCTTAAGTAGTGACCTGCTAACCATGAGTCAGGCACAGAGTATTTATTTTCCAGTACACCAACAACTCCACCTACAGATTTCTCTGGATCATGTCTGGAAGCTAGTTCTAAAACTAGTCTCCAGTCAGGTGGCCTGAGAAAATTCTAACCAATGTAAACCTGAAATTATGGACATGTAGGTAACTAGCGAGTTGTAAAACAGCTTGCCCGGTGAAGGTTCATCTGGAAGACACAGCTAACTGCTTAAGCCTTACTGGGATACTGAAATGTTCAGAGACCTTTGGAAATTTAAAGGACTTAGTATTTGCTTCCTGCTGAAGCCTTTTTAATGACATATGCATGAAATACAGGGAGTCCCTGTCTCAAAAGAACAAAAATGGTTGTATATACATACAGTTTAATACTCAGGATGCAAAACAGTCACTGCCAAACTGTATCACTAGCATTTACTTTTTTTTGAGACATGGTCTCACCATGCAATCCTGGAACTTACCATGAAGACCAGGCTGGCCTCAAACTCACACAGAACTACCTGCCTCTGCCTCCCAAGTGCTGAGATTAAAGGAATATGCCATCACTCCAAGATCCACTAGCATTCACTTTTGAAAATGAAAACCACATTACACCAAATGGTTACCCTCGAAAGCATATACATACAAGTAACATTATATGGACCAAGCAGGTTTTACACACACACACAAATAAAATAAGTACAATTTCAAAAAAAACACGATCAATAAGAGGGAAATCATACCTGGTACTAGGAACCTAGTCAACTACCCAGCATTAGTAAAAAAAACATAGACCTTAGAGGAGAACCTACAACCACCACTTTACTAAAACAGCATAATCCATAACTGCACTCTATTTGCTCTTATACTCAGAGACAAATGTATGTCTCATCCTTCATCAAGGAAACTTGTCTTTGCAACAGATCCAGATCATTACAGAAAACCACACTCAATCAAAATATAGAGCTGTGGAGCTCAGCCCCAATTGATACATCTACAAGTCAATCCCTGCACCTAAGGCTCAGTGATAACTGCAGAAGAGGAAAAAAGACTGGAAGAGCCAGAGGACCAGGGAGTTTGCTGTGAGACTGTGTCTCCTAGAAATGTCAGAAGCGATATCCATAAAGTCTCATCAACCTGACTGCCTAAATGTGAGCTGAGCAAGGACAACAGTAGATGTGTTACCATAGACGGTGGAGACTCTTGAATTCTCAACCTGACTGACACAAAGAACTACAGGCAACCAAGGAATGCTGAGAGAGGGAGAAATCGTCTTCCCTAGAGAAGGGCACATCAACTTGCTATCCAATACCAATGGTCAGCCCTGAAAACATACATACAAGAAACATTATTCAGACTGAAAAGGGGGTATTTATAAACATAAATATATGTACATACACTTACATATATGCATATAACAACAACTAAGGAAAAAAGAGACCATGAATTTGAAAGAGAACTGGAATGGGAGGGTTTAGAAGGAGGAGAGGAGGGATTACATAAATAATTATATTATGATCTCAAAAATAAAAGATAATTTTCAAAATAAAAAGCACATACAGGGTTCGTGAGATGTCCTTGTGGGCAAAAGCACCTGTCATGAAGCCTGGCAACCTAAATTTATACCCAGGATTCACATGGTGGCAGGAGAACCAATTCCCACAAGTTGTTCTCTGACACATGTGCTGTGACATATGTGTATCTACACACACAAAGGTAACAAAAATTTAAAAGCCCACATTGTGCAGGCAAAAATTCTTCCCCTGAATTTCTGTGCCTTCTGAAGAGCTCCTCAGCAGGCATACAACTGAAAGTCAATGCCCTTTGTTGCCCAGGGTATCAGGCAAGCTAGATAACCAGGCTTGACAACGTGTACCGTCTTTGCTGCTATTTCATCTGGGACAAGGTCTCATGTAGGCCACTCTGTCCTCATACTCATTGTGCAATCAAGACTAGCCTTGAACTGGTGTCCATCCCGCCTCTGCCTATTGGCAAACAGCTGTCATGATGCATTTGTAAGAACAATGCTTTGAAAAGAATGAACATTAACCCTTGAAGTGATGGGCTGCTTCTGAGGTCCCAAGACGAGCCATGTAGACTCAGACAGAGCTTCCATCAGACAAGGCACTTTACGCTCAGCAGACATCAGCTTCAACAGAAAAACTATGTAACCCAGACCTGCTTCTGCTACAACCTCCCAGAGAACCCATGTTTCTAGCTTCATGTGCCCAGCCAGATGAGAGACAAAGGCGTGAGAGGTAAGTCAGACTGTAAGAGATTGGTAGAATGGATAGGCCATGGCCAAAAGGGGATGGATCAGAAAGGCTGCTTAGAAAGTGGTAGTAAAAAGGACAATGCCATGAACTGATACAAAGCGTTGTTGTGGGTATGCTAATGCACTTAGGATTTTAATCTTTGATTCAGTACATTCAACATATGTTGTTCATTCCTTTTTTAACCACCAAGAAACCATACACGTTCCCACACATTAATTATTGCTACTGATTTTTGCCTGAGTCAGAGAATTATGATAGATGTGATGAATGGTCACACTGTTGACCTAGCAAGGACAAAACACACAGCAGCTTGAAATCACAAGAATGTTGCCTACCGTGCCCCTTAGGGATGCGTTTGGCACCTGTATACAGAAGGAACAACTACGCTGTGGGTCCAGCCATTCACCATCAAGGACTGGGATTGCAAAAGTTTGCTACTGTGCCTAGCCTAGGATTTTTTTTGTGGAGGATACTGCTGGTATTTGAACTCAGGGCACCATGCTCATACGCTTTTCCTTGGGGCTACATGCCCAACACTGGTATTTTTATTTTGTGCAAAGCTGTAATGTAGGAAGTAAAGACATTTTTCTTTCATTTTAAGAGGCACTATTTATTTTGTTAAAGTCAAGCGAGAGGATCTGTTGGTAAGTGGTAAGTATCAAGCACAATTGTGCATTTTTGCCAGGGCAGAGTTCAGGGTAAAGCCACAAGAACTGACCACAAGCAAGGTCAGTGTGTATACAGAGAGTTCCATAGCTATGCCCATGCCTATGCATGCCAAGGACCAACCATTAGCACCATATTGTTTCTTATGCAACAGTATCACTATTCACAGACATATATACATGGACTCTCTGGAATTCTAGGGTCCCTGCTAATCAGACTTGGAACAGGCAAGCAGGGAATAGACAGGAAGGTCACAATTGTTACGTGATTCAGTACGAGCATGCTAGAACACTACATATTGTTCTCCATAACAGACAATCCTAGAACAACATGAAAAGGCAGGTTACAGACAAACAAAATTCCATTATTCACATTTTACACACATCATTAAAAACGCTCACAACACTGTATTTGGGGATAAAGAACCACAGGTATATAGTTTGGTGACAAATAAAAATAAAACAGTCTGCAATCCCTTAAAAAGTTTGTGGACAGCCAGCATCACATTTTCTGACATGACCCACGTTCACAGCAAGGGATGACCAAGTGGAAGAAGGAAGAGACTTCACTGGAAGATCAGGGACTTTGAAAAGTAGAAGTAGCTTTGTTTAATAGGAGTCAACACTTTTGCAAAGGTTTTCTTCCAACTGACAGTGGTAGGCTGTCAACAAGGCCATCTGTGGTCTGCAGTACAGAAGCTTGCCCATTTTGACTCAGCTGTACAAGGGCACTATCATCTTCACCAGAGCTTAGGGTGTTACCTTCTATTCCTCTGGTTCAGGAAGCACAGATTCTGGTCCTTTAAGACAACTACATGTGAGAGTGTGAACACATGCATGTACACATGGATCTAAGTGTACATGTGTCTTCTGGAAAGGGTGTGGTTACTGCTGAGAGAGGGAAATCTTTGCATCTGCTTCAATCTCAGGGGAAAACAAGAGAAAAAACAATCCCTTGGTAGTACAAAGACTAATGATGCCTGAACATCAAGTCACTAGAGGAACTTGCTCATCTTTCACCATGCATTTAGATATATAAGCATCTTTTGAACTACACCAAATGTACACACATTTAACATTAAGTAAGTTACACGCACCACTGGTGGCTGAACCTTTTTCATGTGTTTACCTGCCATACACACATCTTCTTTGGTGAAGTGTCTAGTCAAGTCTTTTGCCTACTTTTTTCAAACAGTTTGTTTTCTATTGTTAGGTGTTGGGAATTCTTTATACAAATCTTTTATCAGATATAGAAGCAATGGAAGTGGGGTGTGATGGTAAACCTAGAACTCAGGAAGTGGAGACAGGAGGATCAGGAGTTCAAGATCATCTGGACTACATAGGGAGACTGAAGCCAATCTGGGTTACATGAGACTCTTCTAAAACAAACAAATAATAATAAAAACAAAATGAGTACAAATCAGACACATGATTTACAAATATTGTTTCCCAATCTCTGTCCTTTTAACCAGAAACCAATAGAATGACAGTGTTGCTTTAATGAATAACACTCTATTTGTCACTTTTCCATTTTTACTGCTAGGGACAAGGAACCTTGAAACTCTGTTTCAAATGTAAGCACTAGTCACTCCACAGGACCTCTGACAAACCAGAAGATGGAATCTTAAGTCTTAAGGTACATGACATGTGGCCCATGGTAACAGACAGAAAAGTAACAAGAGACAAGCCACCGATTATCATTAAGGATCACATACACAAACAAATTAGTGTTTTGGGGGAAGGAAACTTCAAAATATTCCATTGGTCTCAGGAAATAAAGAGCAAGCAATACCATTATTAGTAGACACTCTTCTAACCAAATAATGTCACTTGGCTACAAATTATTTAAGATGCAACAAGAAGGACACTAGCTATCTGTTTGTTTGGGGTATTTCAAAGCATGCGCACAAGGTATGTGATGATTTTACTCTAGGCATGAGTGTATCCAATATGTAGGTTGTTCATTTCATAGTTGGTTTTTAACCACTAGGAAACTTCATGTTTCTCACACATCAATAAATTATCATCATCACTGATTTTTACTGGGTCAGAGAACATCATGATGATAGCCCAGTGAATGCTTGCATTGTTGAATGAACAAGGACCGAACACACAGCAGCCCATGCCTGGCTCAATCACCAGGGTCTTTCCTCTCATGCACCATAGGGACGTATTTGGCATCTACACAAGGGAGGAACAATGGTGCCACTGCTGCTGCAAAGGAGTGTTTGCATATATTGTGGGCTCAGCCACTGGGCATCCTAGGGGACCCTGCTGACCAGCAAAGCCTGGCATTCTGTGAAGTTACATGTAATACGAAACTGCTCAGCAAACCAACAGAAATGAAAAACATAATAAAATCATCACATACTAACAGGGCATTATTGCTTCTCTCAGGCTGCAGGCTGTCGAACAAGCACTTGAGCTGCTCTTCACCCAGGTGGATTTTATCTTCCAGCTCTCTCTGCTCAATGATGAGGGCTGACTTCATCTTCACGAAGTGCTCATAGTCAGCCAGGTTCTCCTCGCTGAGGTAGGTGGCCAGGATGTCAAACACAATGCGCTCACGACGGTCTAGGTTCTCTTTAAGCTCTTTGGCGTCCTCATGCTGCTGGGTTAGAATTCTCTGTTTCTCCAACAGTGACTGCTGTTGAGAGGGAGGGAAACAGAAAGTTCTGTTGAGGCAAGGCCAAAACAAAGACTCTGGCCAACCCCTTTAAAGCCCTGCAGCTTTGGGATACTGGTCTCGTAACTGTCCGTGGAAACCTTGAAGCCACATTCGATCCCCATTGGAATGATCACGATGGAGTCTACATGTATTTCTAACTATGGTTAGCTTCTCTACAGTTCCTCCTTTCCTCACCCTTCCAGAAGTCACTCATAGGCCCCACTGGGTTTCCTCTCTGTCTGTGCCTTCTTCTCTGCCATTTGCCTTAAATCAGGGACCAGAAGCTACAGAGTTCTGATATGTTTCAAAGGGACAAAGGACTTGATGATTCTGTTGGTCCCAAAATTGTTTTTTAAAATATTTATTTTTTATATATAATTTTTTTATTCTTTTTTTTTAATTTAGATAAGAAACAAGGTTGCTTCACAAGTCAGTTCCAGGTCCCTCTCCCTTTCCCTCCCCTCTTCCCGTGCCCTCCTCCCATCCCCCCCCCCCCGTTATCCCCTCATTCCCCCAGGGAGGGTGAGGCCCTCCATGGGGGTGTCCATAGTCTGTCATTTCATATAGGGCAGGGCCTAGACCCTTCCCCAAGAGTTCAGGGTGAGAGTGCACCTCACATTGTTCTATGGGAGTCCAAAGTCCGTGTGTATACTTGGGATGGGTACTGATCTGCTGCCCAAGGCTCAATAGATTCCCTAGGCCTCCCCGCTGACACCCAGAAGCTACAGAGTTCTGATGTTTCAAAGGGACAAAGGACTTGATGATTCTGTTGGTCCCAAAATTGTAAAAGGGAAATACTATAATCAGGTTGAGCCTGAGCCACCAAACAGGACACCGTTAGGAGTTAAGGGCTATTCCATACTGTTCCATACACGTCTCCCAGCAACTCTACTCTCTGTGTCTTGCTTTCCTGGTCTTTCTTGTTTGTCTTCATACCACCTCCTGTTGAAGAGTTTAATCCTGCCCTAGAATGAAAGAGTCTCAGTCTGTGTGTGTGTGTGTGTGTGTGTGTGTGTTCATCCATCCTTCTCCCTCTCCTCCTGTCCCTCTTATACTAGAGACTGAACCCATAAGCTCATTCATACTAGGAAAACACTCTACCACAGAACTATAGTGCAATGCTACTTTTGCCTTTTATTTTGAAGCCATGTGTCAGTAAGTTTGTCTGGGCTAGATTGCATCTTACTTCATAGCTAGGACGTACCTTTCACTTATGTGTGTTCTTACCCAGCCTCCTGAGTAGATGACATTATAAGCCTGAGCCACAGAGGGTCTAGTTGCTGGGAGGCGTGTATGGAACAGTAAGGAATAGCCCTTAACTCCTAACAGCATCCTATTTGGGGTGGGGAATCAGTGTCCTGCTTCGAAAATCCTGTCTCTAACACATAAAGATTACAATCACTGCTTTCAATTTATAAAATATACACATCCAATGGAAACCCTACCAAGTCCAAGATGAAAGAAGATAAAAAAGGAAGAGATAGATGCATTCATTGTCTTCACATGGAGACTAACACAAAGAAGTCAGGAAAGAGGGGATGTTACCTGTTACTAAATGTGGCCTGAACAAGAAACTGTCTTTGGTATTCCCATGACCATATAAGGTTTAGAGAGCATCTTGCCTTGTCAGACCCGAGACAAACAAAGAGATAAGATATTTTCTGGATAGAGGCCATGTAAGGCCATTGTACTTCAATCAGAAAATAAGCAGACACTAACTTGTTCTACAAAAGTAGGTCAGATTGTGAAAATCCGATGGATGATGGATGCCTGAAAGGTACTGAGATAGTGGTGGGGGAGTCCAGTAGATGTTTGATTAATAAAGAGATTCATTTTGAAGTCCCATAATATGCAAGGAACACAGAAAGATGTTGACTGAAACGTAACCTATGAAACAAACCCAGCAAGTAAGATATTTCTCCTCTTTTGAGTACAAGAAAACTGAGGATAAACATGGTGGTCCATGCCTGTGATGGCCCCTACCCCTACATCTCATTAACTTGCTCTGCCTGTCAACTGAAAGGAAACCAAGAGAGTGGACCTCGTATGAACCAGAGCTCCATGCTCTAGACACTATACAGGCCATGCATAGGCAGTATGAGGCTTCTGAGCCTTCTGAGAGCTGACTTTCTGAGCACCCCAGGACAGCCTTTCTACAGATCCTCACCACTTCCCATTTCCCAGTCATATGTGTTTGCAATTACTCGATCTCCAGGAGAAAGACTGTCATCCAAATTATTGAGGGCATTTTCCACACGGGCCAGGCGGCCTGACAGAGACAGCAGGAGGTTCACCACTTTGTCCAGGTCTCCAATGAACATCCGGAACTTGTCAAACTCATTGGGGTTGCAGACATCTTTCACAATGGCTTCCACCTCATCCCCCAGAGCATTATTAGCTTGGATGTCCTCCAGCAGGCTCTCACGGGCTTCCCGGAGTACCTGCAGCTTGCAGCTGATACTGTCGATGAGCTCTTGCTGTAGGACACAAGGAGGCAGGGGGACACTTGTTAGAATGATCCCAAGCTAGTGCCCTAAGTTAGCGTAGCCACATCACACACAGCCTGGGAAGAATTCAGTCAGATTAGGTGTGTTAGTCTTTGTACCATCAAATAATGGGGGATTTATCAAATCAATGAGAGGAAGGCCTCCTGGTTAGTATGAGCTTCCTTGTTTGTATGAGCAAAGAGGAAGCTCAACTGAGAAAGGTACTTGCTGCCAAGTCTGAGGACCTGAGTTCCATTTCTACAACCATACATAAGAACAAAATTTAAATAAAACAAATTTTCACTTGATGAATGTTCTGTTACACTACAGCTACCTCAGTTTGAATCATAGTAGATAACAACTTCAATCTCTATGTCTGCAAGGATTCATAGACTCTATATGATACCTTGACCTCTGTCTTTTTAAGTATACAAATTACAGACTTACATACAGAGACATTTTGATTCTTGTGTCTAGTGCTGTTGTTGATCCGTCTTTGAGCAAAACTGCTATCACATATTTTTATTAAAAATTATTTGTTTAGTGTGTGTGCATGTGTATGCATGCAAGTACATATATGCCACGACACATATAGCGCTTAGAGGAAAACTCTGAAGACATGGTTCTGTTCTGTGAGATCTTGGGATTAAACTCAGATCTTTAGACCTGTGTAAAAGTGCCTCTACCTATCTAGCTATCTCCAAGGCCTGTCATTACCCAAAAGCAGAAGAGACCACCCACAATGCCAGCTTGTTAACTCTCCCCCAGAGAAGGAGAGAATAGGAAATGTCGTAAGACCCTCTCCTGAGAATCCAGTCAGTTCCTCCTGTACATTTTCTATTAGCATGTAATATTGCCCCCAATGCATGTGTCTTTGGGAGTTGGGAAATGGTATATAGATTATGAATGTTTAACTGAAGTGGGAGAGGGCTTCACCTATGTAGCTTCAGGGAAGTTGTCATCTAAGCTAGGGTGAGACTTTTCCAGTGATGGGATTGTTTTTGGGTCACTCTCACTTCTTTCAGGAAATCCAGTAAATTCATTGATTCATCAAGCTACAGATGGGTAGAACTAGTCTTTTAGATGCCAGTTATGCGAGGAGTTAGATATGAGGCAAATGAGGATGACTGCAGTTATGTGTCTTAGGCACTACGTCTCCTGACAGAACGCACCCTTGTGGTTAGACATGCTTGAAGCTGCAGGTAGGCTGTTTCTACTTTATCAGAAACTAAGGAGCCAGGGCATTCTCCCACACATGAGTGCTAACAAAGAGTCTACACCCTCAACAGACCTAAAATCAACATTGCATTATGGTTGACACTCTTCCTTTTGTGAGCTTTTAAAGAGGATCATGTGAATGATATCCCTTAAAAAGGGAGAGCTGCAACATAAATCCAGCCACACTGAACCTCTTAGAAGAGAAAGTGGGTGGTACCCTTGAACGAATTGGTACAGGAGACAGCTTCCTGAACATAACACCAGTAGCACAGACAGTGAGATCAACAATTAATAAATGGGACCTCCTGAAACTGAGAAGCTTCTGTAAGGCAAAGGACACAGTCAGCAAGACAAAAAGGCAGCCCACAGAATGGGAAAAAATATTCACTAATCCCACATCTGACAGAGGGTTGATCTCCAAAATTTACAAAGAACTCAAGAAGCAAGTCTCCAAAACACCAAAGGACCCTATTAAAAAGTGGGCTGCAGAACTAAATAGAGAGTTTTCAATAGAGGAGTCTAAAATGGCTGAGAGGCACTTGAGAAAGTGCTCAACATCCTTAGCCACCCGGGAAATGCAAATCAAAAGAACTCTGTGATACCATCTCACTCCTGTCAGAATGGCTAAAATCAAAAACACCAATGACAATTTATGCTGGAGAGGATGTGGTGAAAGGGGGCACTCCTCCATTGCTGGTGGGAGTGCCAACTGGTTCAGCCACTTTGGAAATCAGTATGGAGATTCCTCAGAAAAATGGGAATAAACCTACCACAAGACCCAGCAACTCCACTCTTAGGCATATATCCAAAAGATGCCCATTCATACAACAAAGATGTCTGTTCCACTATGTTCATAGCAGCTTTATTTGTAATAGCCAGAACTTGGAAGCAACCTAGATGTCCCTCACCCGAAGAGTGGATAGAGAAAATGTGGTACATCTACACAATGGAGTACTATTCAGCAGAAAAACATAATGGAATCATGAGATTCGCAGGCAAATGGATGACACTAGAAGAAACCATCCTGAGTGAGGTAACCCAGTCACAAAAAGAGAAACATGGCATGTACTCTCTCATATATGGATTTTAGACATAGATTTGGGGAGTGCCAGCCTACAATCCTATGGCCAGAGAGTCTGGGAAACAGAAACTTTATTTAGTGGCTGATCGAAGAAGAGGCAGACTCCCTTGGTTAAGTACTGAGCTGAACTCAAGAAAGCCAGTAACAGAGAGGGAGGACTAATGATCAAAGGGATTAAGACTGGGCTGGTTTAACCCCCAGAAACAGCTGACCAGACAAAGGTTAACTCTTGAGTCTCAGGCATCAGCCTGGGAAGCCAGCATGGGACTGATCAAGACCCCCTGAATCTGGGTGTCAGTGAGGAGGCCTAGGGAATCTATTGAGCCTTGGGCAGCAGATCAGTACCCATACCAAGTATACACACGGACTTTGGACTCCCATAGAACAATGTGAGGTGCACTCTCACCCTGAACTCTTGGGGAAGGGTCTAGGCCCTGCCCTATATGAAATGACAGACTATGGACACCCCCATGGAGGGCCTCACCCTCCCTGGGGGAATGAGGGGATAACGGGGGGGGGGGTTGGGGGGAGGGTATGGGAGGAGGGGAGGGAATGGGAGAGGGACCTGGAACTGACTTGTGAAGCAACCTCGTTTCTTATCTAAATTTAAACTGGAAAATAAAATATAAAAAAACATTTAGATAATAAAGGCAAAATTAAGTTGAAAAAAAGGGGGGAGAGCTGGTGCACCATGGTTTCAGAAGCAAAAAGAGTTGCCTTATTCCATGAATATGCCACCCACCTCACAAATACTCATCAAAATCCCTTCAAAAAACTCAATGAAGAACCATGGGCTGTTCTGTGCTTTGGAAAGTCTACCCAATTTATCTTTGAAATGTTTGCTTTGCTTAGTTTTGCCATGTAACCTTTTGCTTAATCTGTCTGGCTCTTGACTGAATTCCTTCTTTCAATAAGAGAATACTGAAGAGATCCTTTGTACCCTATCTGGGGTAAGCAGATGGTTTGTTCTCATCTTCCCAGAAGTTAACAAATAACTGAATACCATGATTCAAAAGTACTCTTCACAAATAATTAGCAATAAGAACACTACGTCTGATAGTTAATCTCGATTGTCAACTTGACTGGACTGAAAACTTGTTTGCAGAGTAGTGAAGCACAGCTCTGGGCATGTATAGAAAGATGTTTCCAGAGACAATTACATCTTGGAACTCTGACATAATTAATGGCTTTATCCATCCATGGTTTCAGAATTTGAAAAAATGTTGGGAGGTGGTGGAACTGTGGAAGGTGGAGTCTGGTGGGAGGACTGAGACACTGGGCATAATCTGCAGAGCTGCATCTCGCCCTTGCTCTGAAGAGCTGCATCTTGCCCTTCCTGTTGCTACTTTGCTCTATATCCTGGCTGTGATGAGTTGAAAAGATATGCTCCACCATGCCATACCCACTATTGGAGAACTCAGACTATGAAACCATGATTAATACAAATCTTCCTTCTCTAATGTTGCCAAATGTCTCATCACAGAGAGGTAAAAGTTACATATGTAAAGGAATGTCAGCAACCTTCTGAGACATCGTTCAGTAAAATCTACTGCCTTCAATCTCACAAATAATTTCTATGGGAAATATATATGTACCATAAATGATTTAACATTTCAACTTTCACTTTTTTACAGTGCGGGGGATATAACTCTGGGCCTTGTTCATTCTAGGCATTCACTGTATCACTGAGCTACACAGACTCACATTTTGACTATTTTTAAGCATATGGCAATGTGGAATTTATCACATTCATGCCTCTGTACAGCTTGTTACTACTAGGCATTTGTTTCTAGAACCCCCATGTTCCTCATACAGACCAGGAAACATTAACACTATAACCTACCCCTGTACAAACCATGTAAAGCAGTGGTTCTCAACCTGTGGGTTGCAATCCTTTGGAGTCAAATGACCCTTTCACGGGAGTCACATAAGACCATTAGAAGATAGATATTTACACCGTGATTCATGACAGTAGCAAAATTACAGTTATGAAGTAGCAATAAAAATAATTTTATGGTTGGGGGATCACCACAACATGAGGAACTCCAACTATATTAAAGAGTTGCAGCACCAAGAATGTAGAGAGCCACTATTTAAAGGATAAATTTAATTTATTATTTTTATGTAGTCCTGAGGATCAAACCCAGGACCTCGTACATGTTAGGCATGCACTCTGTCACTATGCTATATCCCTAGTTCTAAAGCACTAATTTTTTTCTGGTCTTGCTGTTGTTAAGACAGACTTTCTGTGTATTCCTGCCTGACCTAAAAGTTGTCGTCCTTCTGATTCTACCTCAGCGCTAGGATCATGGGTGCACCCTCCCTGAATTGCATGTGTATGTGGTATGCATGTATGTAAGTGTATAGATCTTAGCATGCATGTGAAGGCCAGAGGTTGACATGAGTGTTATCCTTGATTGTTCTCTACCTTCTATACTGAGGCAGAATCTCTCATTTAAACACAGACCATGGCGAATTGGCTACTTTAGCTAGTTGGCTTGCTCTGTGGACCCCCTGTCTCTGTCTCCTAAGAACTGGAATTACAGACAGGCTGTCACACCCACTAAATATGTATGTGGGTTCTAGGGATCTGGACTCCAGCCTTCCTTGCTTCCATGGAGAGCATTTTACCCACAGGGCCATCTCCCTAGTCCTAAGGCACTGATTTTCAAAGAGCAAAAGTAAAAATACAATGTGCAGCTGGATATCATGGTCCATGCCTATCCAGCAAGGAGGTGGCTGAGATAGGATTGTAAGAGATTTAAGACCAGCCTAGGCTACGTATGGAGTACCAGGCCAGACAAGGCTACATAGCAGGACTCTGTCTCAAAAACAAAGTATATCAAATACACACATGTGTACACCACATACAGAAGAACTCCCCTTTTATGTTTTAAATGAAAGGGGGATTGGGATGCAGCTTAGAGATAAGAGTGCTTAACCATGATGATTTAGACCTTAGCTTTCATCCCAAGAACAGGAGGGGGGAGGAGATGGGCAAATCAATATTTACTATCTAAAAATGTAAGCCTGCCTGGGCATGTAGTTGCAGTTATGCAATCCTAGAACTTAGGAGGCTGAAGCAAGAAGACAAGTTAGAACCCACCCTGAACTACACATCAAGTTGTAGGTCAGCCTGGGATACAGGACTCTGTGTCCAAAAATAAATAAATCAAAGAAAGTAAAACTGTTCAGGCTCCGTAATTCACTCAGACCCGAAGCAGTTGCCTCTACTGACACAGTATCCCAGCACCTTGTTCCTTTCAGAACAAATAGGTAGAGCACCATACAGACAAAGGTGGGTGACAGATTTTTTAAAATTGATTTTTGGGGGGTGGCATTTCTGAGACAGGGACTTGCTATGTAGCTCTGGCTGGTATCCAGCTGGCTAAGTATCCCAGAGTGACTCTGAACTTGTGTTAATCCTCTTCCCTCTTCATCCTGAAAGCTAGGATTACAGGTATGTGCCACCACACCTGGATTTTAAAGATATTTTGGAATACTTTGTGGGGTAGGGTGCTAGAGAATGAATCTAGGGCCTAACACATGCTAGGTAAGCATTCTGCCAACGAGCTATGTTCTTGGCCAAGGTATGCACTTCTAAATGTACTGTGCTAACTGTAAAAAAAGGCGGTTCCCCATGTGTACAGAGTAGCCTAAATTAAAATGCTTCAAATTCTATGACTTCTGTTTTATGAGGAAAAACTGAAAATGCTGAATTTTTTTTGAAAAATATGGTCATGTGACTAAAGAACATAGTTCTGTAATTCAAAGTCTCTAAGAGACCAAACCCCCATCTTCCTACTTAATTCCCAGAATCCAAAAGGTTACCATTTTCTACACTGAAAGACTTTTAAAAACATACAAACAGGTCAAGATACTACCTCCCAAATATTTCTAACATAAAACATCAATCTGTGCTATCTTTCAAATCACCAGGTTGGGAGCAATAGGTAACACTGTCCTTTTCAGTGATTGTCATGGTGCTACATAACATGACCCTGAGGTAATTTCCATCCTTGTTCTCGAAGCTGAAGCCCTGCTTCCTGCTGCTTCTTCCAAAGGCCACCAAGCTCCCACTAAGGGCATCTGTACCTGCTTCACCGTTCCCTTACATAGTATGTATTTTTAGGGCTTGAGCCTGGCATCGCTCTGGGTTTCTGCAATCACTCGCCCTTGTCTTTTTCTAGCCATTCACTCTATTTCAACTGTCTAATACCTGATGCAGTATAACAAGGGTTGGCAAACTTGTCCCATTAGGTGCTAGAGAGTAGTAGACACTTTTACTCCTTGTAGGCTGCATGGTCTGTGACAGTAAAACTTATTTCCAAAAGCAAGTAGAGGGTCAGGTTTACCAAGCCTATGTTAAATATGTATTTATTTTTTTGGGGGGTGGCCATACATAATTCCAATGAGAACACAAGGTCCCTTACAGAGGGACTTCTTTTTCAAGTCTACCTATAGTTGCATCCCTAAGCTTTGTAGAACAGCTGGAACATAATTAAGCATGAAGGGCTTATTCACGCTGAACCATGTCTTGCAAGAAAAGCAAGCTGCTGGGGTGACAAGTGAGTGGTCCTATTACCTTTCACTGACTCGGCATCCAATTCTGAGAGGAGGGTTGCTCGTTCTTTTTAATAATGTGTATTTTTAAAATTTATTTTTACATTCAAATTCCACTTCCTCCCCTACCACTCCATCTCCAATCTGCTCCTGGGAGAGGGTAAGGCCTCTCCTCTCCTAGGAAATCTACTAAGTCTCTCCCATCATCTTGATGAGGCAGGACAAAGGCACCTCCCCCTCACCCCAGTGTCTAGACTGAGCAAGGGGGTGGTTTGTTTTTATTTTATCTTTTTGAGGAAGGATCACACTGTGAAGTTTAGGTCGGCCTTGAATTTAATGTGAAGCACAGATTCAATCTTCTCTTCCTCTTTCAGGGCATGATATCACCATGCTCAGCAGATTGGGGATTTTGTTTGCATAAAGGAAGGTCTTGCTGTTTCTCCCAGACTGGCCAGAATTCCTGGCCTTTCATGATTCTCTTGCCTCAGTCTCCTTAGTGGGGGTGAGTTAGAGGTACTGGGTTGGGGTCAGATTTGTGATTCTCCTTCTTACCTTCTTAACTGATAGGTCATGGTCCAAGTCACCCCCTGAATACTCCTCAGGATCCTGTAGGTCTTTCATCTTGATAAGCAGTTCTACCTTGGGGGCTGACGTGCTGTAATAGGTAGAATTGGTGGCCAAGGACACGACCCCTGGCACACCTGGGTCCTGTTTCCTGGGTAAAGAGGCCAAAATTTTAATCAGCTACGGCACATGCATCCTCTTTGAACAGGGCACCTGGGCTGTGACAAATGGCACTGACAGAAGGACAAGAGCCAGGGAGGTGAGAAAAAAGCTAAACCCAAAATATTAACAACAACAACAAAACAAAATAAAAACCCCACTAATACAAGGGTCACAGACTGTTATTCATTGCTGCCATTTTTTCAGTAGTAGGTTGGAAGTATGGGTCTTGCTATGCTAGGCAAGTGCTCTCATACCCAGTTGTGTCCCCAACCCTGGACCACAGTGCTTTAATTTTTTCTTTTTTTCTTTTTTTTTTTTGGTTTTTCAAGACAGGGTTTCTCTGTTGCTATGGAGTCTGTCTTGGAACTCCCTTTGTAGACCAGGCTGACCTCGAACTCACTGGGATCCACCTGCCTCTGCCTCCCAAGTGCTGGAATTAAAGATGTGTGCCACCACAGCCTGCCCAATGTTTGAGTTTTTAAAAGTGTGTGTATGTTCTGTTGAATCTTGAACATATACTAGATACCAACTCTACAACCCCAGATGTAAAAAACAAAAATGTGTCTGGACACTGCCACATGGTCACATGTCTCTCATAGAAGCATAATTGCCCTTCCCATCCCATCAGTGACTCAGATTAAATCCAAGTCCTTACACATGGTAGGTAAGTACTTTACCTCTGAGAGGCATCCTTGTCCCTAGGTAACTGAAATGTAAACAAACAACATTTCTAATGAAAGAAAATGCTGCTCAATATAACATCCTTAGGTTGGCCTTGTAATGTGATTCAAAAGTAGTTGTAAGGCAGGCAGACAAAAGATACATAGATTAAATACTTGTAAAGATTACATGATAACTGTAGGACACATGTACAATACCAGGTCTTAGGAATCTAAGGTGGGAAGACCCTGTGTTCAAAACCAGTTGAGGTAACTTCTCTCAAAACAAAACAACATGGGTAAGGTTTATAGCTTAGTGATGACAAACTTGCCTAATATGTATGAGGACCTGGGTTCTAGTTCAACATTTTCAAGTAGGTAGGAGAGAGATATGCAGGTGTGGTGATATATTCCTATAACCCTAGCATTTAGGAAGTTGAAGTAGAAGGATCAAGTCCAAGGGAGCCCAAGCTTCATAGAGACTCTACTTCAAAAACAAACAGATGGATGGGCAGGCACGTGATACACATATTGAATACAGAGATTAGATGATGGACACAACACAGGTGAGGGGGTAGACGATTAGCCTCATACCAACAGAGCTATTCTCAGGGCCAGCACTAACAATATCTGAGGGCTGTATCATAAACTATAAGATCTGTAGGAGTATCCTACTACAGTCCTTTCCACTAGATGTCAGGAGTGCTTCATTCTCCACTGTAACAGATGAAATTACCGAATGACATTCCTAAAGGTTCCTGGAGAGGACATGTGGATACTGCTATAACTATTCCTGTTGTAAACTAAGGACAGCAGCAGCAGCTCCAGTGACCTCACCATGCCTCTGCTACATTCCATGCAATCAAATCCAGGTATGATAATTTAAAACTTAGCAAAAACTGCTAAGTACTGGGGACCCAAAGGAAAACCATCACCTCTCTGCAGAAGCAGTCATGAATATCAATACACTCCAAAGTCCTTCTTTTACTCCTAAGCCCACAAGAGACAGGGACTGAGGAACAAACATCCCATGGTGTGTGTCATCTACTCACTTGTCCTCTGTGACTCTGGGTGCGGGGACTTTGGGAAGCAGCTTCCTTTGCTGCTGAGCTTCCTCCAGGAGGTACTCATCTTTGGGGAAAATTCCCTCCATCAGATCCATGGTTGTTTTGATCTTCACGCTGGGGTCCAGGATGTCAGCCAATGACTTGTCCTTTCCCACAATCTCTCTGGCTATTTCTTCAGACTTCAAGTCATCCACGGTCTTCTCCTTGGCCTTCCCATAGTTGAGCGAGGGAGGGGAGGAACAGCTATCTCTGACAGGAGGTGCAGGGGTGCTGGGTGGCCAGGATTCTGGAGGGCGGGATCTCTGAGGGGTTTCAACCTCCTGTCGTGTATACACACAGAAGCGACAATAGCACTGCTCTGATGTGCTCAATGACTTTATCTGGTCCCTCTCCAGCCCACTGGACAGTGTGGGAAGCTCAGTTGCGTATGTGAGACTCTGTCGGCTCTCCATCTCGGGCTGGCTTTCTGAGTGCACAATTTTTATGTGCACCATCTTCACGGTGGTGTTGTTGTCCATCACCCGCTCGATTCTGCAAGGACAAGGGTTGTCCTCTGAAATCTTGACATGCACAGATTCCTACCCACGATTCACACAGAGACCCCAACACAAAGACCCACTGTCGACCAGACAAATAAAAAGACAAGGCAGAGGTTGAAAATTGTCCTCAACTGACCCCTCACATGGTCTCTGGATGCCTAGCAGTCCAACTCAAATTTTGTCACATACCTATAGGCATTGGCAAAAGAGATCCTGAGTGATGTGAAACCTGTTCAATATTCATTTTTGTTTTCTTGTAAAAGTGGGCATTGCACCCAGGGTCTTAGGTTAAGACAAATGCTCTATCACATGAGCTATGGCTGCACTCCCTGATTTAGTGTTTTTATTCTGAGGGTAATGCAAATGCATCAAACCTCATTTGTTAAATCTCCCTTTGTAGGAGAAATCATCAGTGGACAGAATTACCACAAGTCTACAAGTAGGTTGCTGCATACCAGCAGGTGCCTGGGTAGCCCTCCTTGTCCTTAGAAGACTTCTGTTGGGAGTGGCTGTGCTGGGAATCTTTGATGAGTACCCGCACCCATGGGTTCCACTCAGGTGCTTTGTCATGTGCATTGCATCCCATGTCCCACGTCTCATCCCGACTCACACTTCGTCTTTGTCAGGGCAGCTTCAGATGTCAGTATGAGACAAGGACACCTTCTCTCCAGATCCCTAACAATACTACCAACTGAAAGATGCTGAAATGATACCATATAAGACATAAAACACAGCTGACGCACACATATAAAGCTGTGAATTCAACACCATCACTGGAGACTGTGCTTGGTCTTTTGTTTGTTTTGTTAGGTCATACAAGTTAAAAGTCCTCTGGGAAGAGAGAACCTCAAGTGTAAAGTACCTCCATCAGACTGGCATATAGGCAAGTCTGTTGGGGCATTTTCTTGAGTAGTGTTTGATGTGGGAGAGTCTGGCCCACTGTGGCAGGTGGTCCCGGGTTCTATAAGAAAGCAGGTTGAGCAGGCCATGGGGAACAAGCCAATAAGCAGTGTTTCTCCAAGGTCTCTGCTTCAGTTCTTGCCCTGACTTTCTTTCTTGGAGCCTGTAAGCTGTAAGGTGAAAGAGATCCTCTCCTCCCCAAGTTGCTTTTGGTCATGGTCCCAACTGGGACAGAGATGTAATTACAACGCCAATGATATCCATTCTAAAATGATTTTCTATTAGGAGAATTCCATACATGCTTATGTTTTCATCAAATCCACCCATATTCCTCCACTATTCCTTCCAGATTTCATGGTACTTTTTGTTTTACTTTGTCTTTTAAAACCTTTGAGTCCACTTAATGTTATTAGAATGTACATGGGTGTAGATCTGTCTATTGGAGTGTGGGTAGCCTCCCAGGGGCCACATCTTGAAAGAAAACTGACTCCCTCCCAGCAGCCTCAGTAGGGAGTGGGACTTAGTGAAGCTCTCCTCTATCTGTGCTGGGATGTGTCTAGCTTAATCTTGTGCATGCAGTCAAAGACACTGTGAGCTCATATGTGCAGCTGTCCTGTCCAGTCTCAAAAACAGTTTCATTCTAGTCACTAACTGCCTCTGCCTCTTACAAGCTTCCAGCCACTCAAAGATCTCTCAACTTTGGGAGAAGGTGTGATATTATATCCCATTTAGGGTTGAAAACTTAGAAATTTCATATTATCTGCAGGAGTTAATGGATATCTATTTTAGTTGCCTTCTATTGTAAAAGAAGGTTCTCTGATGAGGGTTAAGATGTACCAACTTATGGGTATAAAGACAAGTATTTAAGGGAGGGTTTAATGCTATGTCCACTTAGCAGAATGAGTTGGTTCTCTCCTAGGGTCTATGAACCTGCCCAGTTATGAGTTCTTGGCACTGTTAACAGTATCAGACATAAGTTTGGTTTTGTCAAGCAGGTCTTAAAATCCAATCAGAAAGTAGCTGGTTACTCCATAATATTCCTGTCACTATTGCATCAGTAGATTTTTTTCCAGGCCATTCATTATTATAATTCCCAGAGTTCACAGCTGGGTGAGATTGTTTATAGCTTACTCCCTAGTATTGTCAATAACACCTTCTAGCACTATGAAAGCTAGCCAGTGGGAATGAAGCATTTAGGTCATTACCAGCTTGTTTTCATGTTTTATGATTCAAGTACATGGTCTCTTCAGCAATAGGATCCTACCATGAAGTTCTGGAAGGTAAACAACAGCAATGGCAATAACCTATGATGGTTGGGGTCTATGAGACTTCAATGTCTAATAACTTGAAAAGAGGCAACCCATGGCGCTAGGCTTTTCATCTGAGTTATTCAGAAGTTTAAAGGGGAGTAGGTTGAAGAACTAAGGATATAGCACAGTTGATAGAGTCCTTGGCTATCTTACCACTTCGGAGGTTAGAGGCAATAGGATGAGAAGTTCAAAGACAGTTTAGGTTACATAGACAGTCTAGGCTACCCAGTGAGTTCAAGACCAATCCAGATTATACACCAAGATTGTGTCTCCAACAAAAAAGAGGAAGAGGGAGAAATTTTAAAAGTATGCAAATATTGGACATTGCTCAACTTTACCTAAAGATCTTTTTCTTAGGTTAAATCTGATTTTGACCACTGGCAAAACATGCTTAGTCTGCATGTGCCAAGAAGTAAGGCAAATGGAAATGCATTCAATGCAGACAAAGGGGATCATGTCATTAAATTACAAATGGTCATTTGAGCTGTGACTCATTCTCCACACCATTTTTCATGACCAAATTTACCCCAGTGTTTGAAGCTGCATCAAGGCTCCAGCAACAAACACTGGATGACGGAATGAATATGTAGCATGCTGTCATAGGAAAATACCTTGCTGAGTTGTCTTCTTGGATAAGCATGGGAGGCTTGTCTGTCAGCTTCTGTGGGGCAAACTGGGGTGAAGGGGAGCGAGAGGTTTCCATTGCTGATGTCTGTAGTTGTTGACACTTGGAAGAGAGTTGGACTTGTGGTTGAGAGACAGTTGTATCCTCATTCACATGCTGGCCGTATTGTGAGAGAAGGGTAGGTGAATCACACACGCACATCCAAGGACTTAGTAAGTGGTGTTGGTAAGGACTTGTTGGGGACGGCTAGGTAAGAGTCTGTAGGTGTATAGCCTCTGAGGTGGGGCTGCCTTCTTAGGGTACAGGGCTGTGCTTACTGACCACAAAGTGTGCTTCTGAACAGGTAGGGGTAAAGGGGGACCCTGGACTTGGGGTCCCAAGTCTGACAGTGTGTTCTACCCTGAGTATGTATATTCTCAAGGTAGAGTACTGGCTTGGTCCAGGCCCTCCTGTGGAGGTCTTCCTGGGAGTGGGATAATTCAGGCAATGTGGAATTGGTCTGTGGGTTCTCATTCAGTAGGTCCTGCAATGTTCTCAAACCGACTTCATAACACTGGGCATCTGCTTGTCTAAAGGAAGATGTAATAATAATTAGGCAAAAATTCTTATTAGGATCTTCTCTCTTAGATCACTTTAAGGACTACCCATTTTCCAGCACCCATGCCTACTGCCGCTTGTGATGTGGTAAAAATTCATAACACATGCTATACATATTAGGCTATTTGTGAAACATGTTCTATATGGCATATTAAGCATGTATAACACACATATATAGACCTGGTATAGACATACATGTATATGTAAACTACATTTCTTTAATTGAAAGAAATACCTCCCCCCAAAGAAAAAAAAATCATGTTTTTGTGAAAATTGCCAGATACAAATATGTTTGGGATCATTTGATTCACATTGTAATGCTTTTACATAGCATATGGGAAACACTTATATACACAGGGATAGACCTTTCAAGATGAGCCAAGAATCAATTCAGTCATAAAAATCTTTAAAATTAGACATGTCAAACCAGGAAAACAACAACTGTTTATTTTGGAAGCAACTATGACTTACAGAGTTTCCCATTATACTATCATTTCACATCAACATGCATATATTTTCATAGGCATGCTCATGATGTCCATATAGAAGCTTGTCTGGATATATGATTATTCATGCCAAACGCTTATGGGTTGACTAGCAAACTTGCAACAATTAAGTGTGTAGTGCCAACATACCACACCAAACCAATCCCAAGTAGAAAACAAACCTTTGATTTATGGAAAAGAGCAATTCTCAGCCTAAAACCGACGTTTGGGCTGGGCATTGTACTTCATGTAATCCTAGTATTTGGGAGGCCAAAGTAGGAGGATTGCATCCATCTAGTTAAAAACCAGACTGGGCTACAAAGTGAGTTATCTGAAAAACTATCAGTTTTGAGGAATACAGTATATAACTCAGTGGCTGAACACTTACCTAATAAGTGCAAGGCCTTAAGTTTGATCCATAGGTTGGGATGGGGGAGCACACTACCAAGAAAACTTTGCGACTGACCCAAAACAGGACAGCATGTATAAGTAGCAATGAAATGACAGAACCTAATTACTGACAAAAGGAATGCAGACCCATCCCTGTTTCATATCCAGAGTACTTAAGATGCACTTGCTTCTGCTCTCTTGTTACATCATAGACATGATGCATAATACCTGGGTTCTACAGGCGGGATCTGCAGGACTATCATACCAGTGCCCTGCCTTGTGGATGCTAACCTTGCTGTGTTCTGAGGAGCAGAGATGGGAAGGTCCCTTCCTTAGTTAATAGATACTCCAGAGTAGAGCAGAGTTTACAGTCAATGTCCTCCTGCTGCCCTACATCCCCCAAAACATAGGGAGCCAAACAACACTAGCATGCAGCTAGAAACTGACATCCTATTGACATAGCAGCAGGAAAGACTCATTAAGCAAAATTATTTCCTCTTGCAGAGAAGATGAAATCTCTGGCCTGTGCAGAGATTTGACATTTCTGGACTGGTTATTCACATGCTAAGGACTGCAAGAGGGTAGGTTCATCTTAACCTATGCTAAAAAATACAGAAGGAATAGCTTTTCACTTAGACAATAAACGTTTCCTTTCTTGCATTCCTGCTTCCTAGTGTAGTCCCTACAAGCTGCTGGTCTGTAGGGCTTGCCTGCCTTAGAAAAGTGTAACTTTCCCTTTCATTGTTGTTTGTCTTCTTTCTCTAGTACTGGGGACATTTTCATTCTTCCTAGGCTCTACCAACTAAGCTACATCCCACCCTTCCCGCCTCTTCACTTTCTATAACATTCTTCTCCACATCATGTGGCTGACCTCCAAACTGGCTTAACTCAATCAGCATAGCACTTTCCTCTCTTCTCCAGTCTCTCCTGCGCAGCTGCTTAGGTTTACAACTTGCTTGTCCCCAGGTTCTTCTTTTAAACTCTAATGAAATTGTTCTCAAGCTTTTATTTGAGTCCATTCTGAAAACCTTTACTCATGAGGGGACCACAATTTCCATGGTATCACCAACAAAACAAAACAACTTAGGTCCACATCAGGTCCTCATGAACTGTCTTCCCTAATATTTAACTTCCTGAAATGTAGTAGCCATGTAGTACCCAGCTAAAACATCCTGGTACTTAATTAGTATTATTTGGTAAAAAGCCACTGTGTTTTAGAACCAAAATCAAATGACCTGCAATTTATTGCTAAAATCTAAGTATTGTTAGTCACTCACATGCATGAGTTAAAATGGATGCAAAATGACACTGGCTGGGAGGGTTGAATGCATGGTTTCACACAAGCTAAGCAAGCACTGTACTGCTAAACTATATGAGCAGTAAGCAATCCCTGATTTCTGATCTCTGATCTCAGATTGAATTGTCTGAGACTTACTCAGAAAACTGAAGAGAACTCACACACCAGAGTCAGCTTCACTTGCAAAGATGGGGTCTGTAAATAATGATTCAGGGTAAAAGAAATGCTGAGAAAACACGCCTTGAACCAGACTGGGCTTCTCTCCTGGCTAGAAGACTCCCTAGGTTCCTTCATGGCTTATTTAGAAACATCCCATGTAGCATTTGAGGGCTCTGTATTTGGCAGAGCATTGCATGGCAGAGTTCACATATGCTTGTAAGAGCAAGGTAAACTGAAAAAGCCACCTTGAGAAACTCCCTTCGTCTTACAAGGCTGATTCAGCTTCAGCCAAGGAACCATAAGCAGTTCCAAGGATCTCCCAAACTGTGCCCACCCCAGTCAAAACGACCCCATCCGGGTGGTCAGGCAATGCCTAATTTTGGTAAATATCATTATTTCTAACATCTTTTCATCACAACTGTCCTTGTGGGTAACCATTAGTAACAATTTTGAAATTCCCTAGCCCCCATGTCAATGAATCCAAAGGTCACCTACTCTTACCCAATCCTGAACAGCTAAGGCACGTGCCAACCTGCTTGCGGTTTTCTTCCTTTATAAACCCCTTGCAATTGAGGCCAGGCACCCTTTTCCTGCAGCTGCTGTGCCAGTTTGAAGGACTGGGTCCCTGCTGAGGATCGTAACTTAACATTAAACCTTATGCATTTGCATCAGTGAGTTGGCTCATTGGTGGTCTTTTGGGGTCTCACGAACTTGGCATAACAATGACAGCAGATAGAAGCTTAGTATGCAATGATCCATCGAGAAATTTATCCTTATTCACACTACCATAGACACAGCAATTTAATGTGCCTTCCTGCTTTCTCTATTTTCCTTGGCCCTTTCCAACTCCAAGCTTGCAGAAGTCTACACTATAAAATCACCAACTGATTTTTTTATTTAATTTTTTATTTTAATTTTAAATAGCTTGTTTTACATGTCAATCCCAGTTCCCTCTCCCTCCCCTCCTCCCACACCCCCCATCCCCCCCAAGCCTCCCACCCTATTGCCAATTCCTTCCACATAGGGGATATCTAGAGTTTGTCATTTCACTCAGGGTAGGGTCCACGCACTTCCCTAAGAGTCCAGGCTGAGAGAGCATCCCTCTTTGTGCTATGGGCACAGGATGTCTGTTTGTATTCCAGGGATAGACACTGATCCATTGCTCAGGGCTCCATAGGTTGCCGAGGCCTCCTCACTGACACTCACATTCTGGGGAGTCCGGATCAGTCCCATGCTGGCCTCCCCTGCTGTCGGTCTGGGATCCAAGAGCTCTCCCCTGTTCAGATCAGCTGTCTCTGCTGGTTTTGGAAGCCCATTCCTTGCCAATTTGCTCATCGCTCCTCTCTCTCTGTCACTGGGTTCCTTGGGTTCAGTTCAGTGCTTAAGTGTGGGTGTTTGCCTCTGCTTCCATCAATCACTGGCTGAAGGCTCCCAGATGGTTATAGACATCAAGTTCATTATCAGGAATGGGCATTCGGGGTGGCATTAATTCTCTAGTATGACTGTTCTCCTGTTTCTACATGTGGGCACTTAGTGCTATAAACTTTCCTCTCAGCACTGCTTTCAAAGTGTCCCATAAGTTTGTGTATGTTGTGTCTTCATTCTCATTGAATTCCAGGAAGTCTTTAATTTCTTTTTTATTTCTTCCTTTACCCAGGGATGGTGCAATTGTGCATTGTTCAATTTCCATGAGTTTGTAGGGTTTCTGTGATTTGTGTTTTGTTGAATTCTAATTTTACTGCATGGCGGTCTGATAATTTACAGGGGGTTATTCCAATTTTTTTGTATCTGTGGAGATTTGCTATGTTTCCTATTATGTGGTCAATTTTAGAGAAGGTTCCATGTGGCGCCAAGAAGAAGTTATATCCCTTTGTGTTTGGGTGGAAAGTTCTATAGGTGTATGTCTGTTAAACCCAGTTGGGTCATACCTTCTATTAGTTCTTTTGTTTCTTTGTTAAGTTTCTGTCTGGAAGTCCTGTCTAATGGTGAGAGCAGAGTGTTGAAGTCTCCTACTATTAGTGTGTGAGATTTTATGTGCATTTTGAGCTTTAGTAATGGTTCTTTCACGAATGTAGGTGCCTTTGTATTTGGGGCGTAGATGTTTAAAATTGAGACTTCATCTTGATGGACTTTTCCTTTGATGAATATGAAGTGTCCTTCTTCATCTCTTTTGATTGATTTTAATTTGAAGTCTAGTTTGTTAGATATTAGGATTGCTACACCCACTTGTTGCTTGGGACCGTTTGAT